AAGGAAAAGGCAGAGGAATAATAATAATAATAATAATAATAATAAATAATAATAATGGGAAGAAGAAGAAGATGATGAATAGGATGGAGAAGTAGAAAATGAAGAAGATGAGGATAAAGAAGAAGGAAAAGGCAGAGGGGAATAATAATAATAATAATAATAATAATAATAATAATAATAATAATAATAATGGGAAGAAGAAGATGATGGTGAATAGGATGGAGAAGTAGAAAATAAAAATGAAGATAAAGAAGAAGGAAAAGGCAGAGGTGAATAATAATAATAATAATAATAATAATAATAATAATAATAATGGGAAGAAGAAGATGATGGTGAATAGGATGGAAAAGTAGAAAATGAAGAAGATGAGGATAAAGAAGAAGGAAAAGGCAGAGGGAATAATAATAAATAGAATAATAATAATAATAATAATAATAATAATAATGGGAAGAAGAAGATGATGGTGAATAGGATGGAAAAGTAGAAAATGAAGAAGATGAGGATAAAGAAGAAGGAAAAGGCAGAGGGGAATAATAATAATAATAATAATAATAATAATAATAATAATAATATTGGAAGAAGATGATGATGAATAGGATGGAGAAGTAGAAAATGAAGAAGATGAGGATAAAGAAGAAGGAAAAGGCAGAGGGGAATAATAATAATAATAATAATAATAATAATAATAATAATAATAAAAATAATAATAATAATAATAATAATGGGAAGAAGAAGATGATGGTGAATAGGATGGAGAAGTAGAAAATGAAGAAGATGAGGATAAAGAAGAAAAACGAAAAGGCAGAGGAATAATAATAATAATAATAATAATAATAATAATAATAATAATAATAATGGGAAGAAGAAGATGATGGTGAATAGGATGGAGAAGTAGAAAATGAAGAAGATGAGGATAAAGAAGAAGGAAAAGGCAGAGGGGAATAAAATAATAATAATAATAATAATAATAATAATAAATAATAATGGGAAGAAGAAGATGATGGTGAATAGGATGGAGAAGTAGAAAATGAAGAAGATGAGGATAAAGAAGAAGGAAAAGGCAGAGGGAATAATAATAATAATAATAATAATAATAATAATAATAATAATAATAATGGGAAGAAGAAGATGATGGTGAATAGGATGGAGAAGTAGAAAATGAAGAAGATGAGGATAAAGAAGAAGGAAAAGGCAGAGGGGATAATAATAATAATAATAATAATAATAATAATAATAATAATGGGAAGAAGAAGATGATGGGTGAATAGGATGGAGAAGTAGAAAATGAAGAAGATGAGGATAAAGAAGAAGGAAAAGGCAGAGGGGAATAATAATAATAATAATAATAATAATAATAATAATAATAATAATGGGAAGAAGAAGATGATGGTGAATAGGATGGAGAAGTAGAAAATGAAGAAGATGAGGATAAAGAAGAAGGAAAAGGCAGAGGTGAATAATAATAATAATAATAATAATAATAATAATGGGAAGAAGAAGATGATGGTGAATAGGATGGAGAAGTAGAAAATGAAGAAGATGAGGATAAAGAAGAAGGAAAAGGCAGAGGGGAATAATAATAATAATAATAATAATAATAATAATAATAATGGGAAGAAGAAGATGATGGTGAATAGGATGGAGAAGTAGAAATGAAGAAGATGAGGATAAAGAAGAAGGAAAAGGCAGAGGGAATAAATAATAATAATAATAATAATAATAATAATAATAATAATGGGGGAAGAAGAAGATGATGGTGAATAGGATGGAGAAGTAGAAAATGAAGAAGATGAGGATAAAGAAGAAGGAAAAGGCAGAGGGAAATAATAATAATAATAATAATAATAATAATAATAATAATGGGAAGAAGAAGAAGATGGTGAATAGGATGGAGAAGTAGAAATGAAGAAGATGAGGATAAAGAAGAAGGAAAAAGGCAGAGGGAAATAATAATAATAATAATAATAATAATAATAATGGAAGAAGAAGGTGATGGTGAATAGGATGGAGAAGTAGAAAATGAAGAAGATGAGGATAAAGAAGAAGGAAAAGGAAATAATAATAATAATAATAATAATAATAATAATAATAATAATAATAATGGGAAGAAGAAGATGATGGTGAATAGGATGGAGAAGTAGAAAATGAAGAAGATGAGGATAAAGAAGAAGGAAAAGGCAGAGGGAAATAATAATAATAATAATAATAATAATAATAATAATAATAATGGGAAGAAGAAGATGATGGTGAATAGGATGGAGAAGAGAAAATGAAGAAGATGAGGATAAAGAAGAAGGAAAAGGCAGAGGGAATAATAATAATAATAATAATAATAATAATAATAATAATAATGGGAAGAAGAAGATGATGGTGAATAGGATGGAGAAGTAGAAAATGAAGAAGATGAGGATAAAGAAGAAGGAAAAGGCAGAGGGAAATAATAATAATAATAATAATAATAATAATAATAATAATAATAATGGGAAGAAGAAGATGATGGTGAATAGGATGGGGAAGTAGAAAATGAAGAAGATGAGGATAAAGAAGAAGGAAAAGGCAGAGGGAAATAATAATAATAATAATAATAATAATAATAATAATGGGAAGAAGAAGGTGATGGTGAATAGGATGGAGAAGTAGAAAATGAAGAAGATGAGGATAAAGAAGAAGGAAAAGGCAGAGGGAATAATAATAATAATAATAATAATAATAATAATAATGGGAAGAAGAAGGTGATGGTGAATAGGATGGAGAAGTAGAAAATGAAGAAGATGAGGATAAAGAAGAAGGAAAAGGCAGAGGGAATAATAATAATAATAATAATAATAATAATAATGGGAAGAAGAAGGTGATGGTGAATAGGATGGAGAAGTAGAAAATGAAGAAGATGAGGATAAAGAAGAAGGAAAAGGCAGAGGGAATAATAATAATAACAATAATAATAATAATAATAATAATGGGAAGAAGATGATGGTGAATAGGATGGAGAAGTAGAAAATGAAGAAGATGAGGATAAAGAAGAAGGAAAAGGCAGAGGGAATAATAATAATAATAATAATAATAATAATAATAATGGGAAGAAGAAGATGATGGTGAATAGGATGGAGAAGTAGAAAATGAAGAAGATGAGGATAAAGAAGAAGGAAAAGGCAGAGGAAATAATAATAATAATAATAATAATAATAATAATAATGGGAAGAAGAAGATGATGGTGAATAGGATGGAGAAGTAGAAAATGAAGAAGATGAGGATAAAGAAGAAGGAAAAGGCAGAGGGAATAATAATAATAATAATAATAATAATAATAATAATAATAATTCTAATAATAATAAAATAATCAAGAAGAAGATGGTGAATAGGATGGAGAAGTAGAAAATGAAGAAGATGAGGATAAAGAAGAAGGAAAAGGCAGAGGGAATAATAATAATAATAATAATAATAATAATAATAATAATGGGAAAGAAGAAGATGATGGTGAATAGGATGGAGAAGTAGAAAATGAAGAAGATGAGGATAAAGAAGAAGGAAAAGGCAGAGGGGAAATAATAATAATAATAATAATAATAATAATGGGAAGAAGAAGGTGATGGTGAATAGGATGGAGAAGTAGAAAATGAAGAAGATGAGGATAAAGAAGAAGGAAAAGGCAGAGGTTTATAATAATAATAATAATAATAATAATAATAATAATGGGAAGAAGAAGATGATGGTGAATAGGATGGAGAAGTAGAAAATGAAGAAGATGAGGATAAAGAAGAAGGAAAAAAGCAGAGGGGAATAATAATAATAATAATAATAATAATAATAATAATAATAATGGGAAGAAGAAGAAGATGGGATGAATAGGATGGAGAAGTAGAAAAAAAGAAGATGAGGATAAAGAAGAAGGAAAAGGCAGAGGGGAATAATAATAATAATAATAATAATAATAATAATAATAATAATAATAATGGGAAGAAGAAGGTGATGGTGAATAGGATGGAGAAGTAGAAAATGAAGAAGATGAGGATAAAGAAGAAGGAAAAGGCAGAGGGGAATAATAATAATAATAATAATAATAATAATAATAATAATAATAATAATGGGAAGAAGAAGATGATGGTGAATAGGATGGAGAAGTAGAAAATGAAGAAGATGAGGATAAAGAAGAAGGAAAAGGCAGAGGAAATAATAATAATAATAATAATAATAATAATGGAAGAAGAAGGTGATGGTGAATAGGATGGAGAAGTAGAAAATGAAGAAGATGAGGATAAAGAAGAAGGAAAAGGCAGAGGGGAATAATAATAATAATAATAATAATAATAATAATAATGGGAAGAAGAAGACAACACATGGTGAATAGGATGGAGAAGCAGAAAATGAAGAAGATGAGGATAAAGAAGAAGGAAAAGGCAGAGGGGAAATAATAATAATAATAATAATAATAATAATAATGGGAATAAGAAGAAGATGGTGAATAGATGGAGAAGATAAAATGAAGAAGATGAGGATAAAGAAGAAGGAAAAGGCAGAGGAATAATAATAATAATAATAATAATAATAATAATAATAATAATGGGAAGAAGAAGGTGATGGTGAATAGGATGGAGAAGTAGAAAATGAAGAAGATGAGGATAAAGAAGAAGGAAAAGGCAGAGGTCAATAATAATAATAATAATAATATTAATAATAATAATGGGAAGAAGAAGGTGATGGTGAATAGTATGGAGAAGTAGAAAATGAAGAAGATGAGGATAAAGAAGAAGGAAAATGCAGAAGGGAATAATAATAATAATAATAATAATAATGCGAAGAAGATAATGATGGTGGCTAGATGGGGAAGTAGAAAATGAGAAAGATGAAGATAAAGATGAAATAAAAGCAAAGTTTAGTAATAATGATTGGAATTAGATTGCCAATAGATTTGAGGAGGAAAACGCGATTTGGATAAGAATAACTGAAATCAGTAAACCAATTATAATATATTACTTAGTCTGTTACAAAAACGGTGATAAGTGATGGTTAAAAAGAAATAGTAAATCATCACTGGATGAATACCAAACCAGCTTGGGAAATAAGATTAGAAAAACTCTTCTCCAAATCCCAATTAATATTACGATCGAGATACGTGTAGCATTTGAGTCCAGTTATTCCCAAAATTTTTCTCTGGCCCGCATATTCGGAATGAATATTTGCTCACGCTCTACTAAAAGGTTTTCTCGTTGAAAAGGTGCAAACCGCCCTACGGTAAAGAAGGTCCAAAGAGAGCATTAAAGTGAGATAACCGCAGATTCGAAGTCAGAACATTATCATTGATAACTCTCTCCTCCAATTTGAGGACTATATTCTTAATACTTGGTATAATGCTGGAATATGACAATGAACAAATTGGTCAATAAATATTTATAACTACTTACACTGGACTCATTACAAGTAATCCACAATAATATTATAAATTCTGAAACCATTTATTTTTTGTGCATATAAATTTTTGAAACTGTTTCTAAATCTTAGATTGTCTTTCACTCATTCCGCCTCAAAAGCTATCCTCTTCCGCCTCACCAGCTATCCCCTTCCCTCTCACCTGCTATCCTCTTCCGCTTCACCTGCTATCCTCTTCCACCTCACCTGCCATACTCTTCCACCTTAACTGCTTTCCTCTTCCGCTTCACCTGCTATCCTCTTCCGCCTCACCTGCTATCCTCTTCTGCCTTACCTGCTAATCTCTTCCGTGTCACCTGTTATTCTCTTCCCACTCATCTGCTATCCTCTTCAGCCTCACCTGGTATCCTCTTCCGCCATATCTGCCATCCTCTTTCGCCGCACCTGCTGTCCTCTTCCGCTTCAACTGCTATACTCTTCCGCTGCATCTGCTATCCTCTTCCGCCTCACCTGCTATCTTCTTCCGCCTCACCTGCTATCCTCTTCCGCATCACCTGCAATCCTCGTCCGCCTCATCTGCTATGCTCTTCTGCCTCAACTGCTATCCTCTTCCGCTTCACCTTCTATCCTCTTTCGTTGCGCCTGTAGGGTACGCCGCACGTCTGGGAACCACTGTTCTAGACTATGGAGTCAAATTAAATAAAAGGAATAATTATTGCACTGCAAGAAAAATAAAGAAAAATACTAGCCAAAAATCAAGGGTATACAAGGGTATAAAATCATAAATTTAAACTTTCCAGTCTTTAACAATTTAAACGCAATATCAATCGTTATCTTTTGTCATTTATTGTTCACGATCCTTAAGAATGTATTTATCATATTTTTTCAGACAAATTATACCGCTGCATTGCTTCCATTCTTGGGTGAAATGCTTAAAAAAATATCTGTCTGAATTTCTGAGATGTGGTACTATGTACACTATTTACATTATTCGGACAATTGTCCTCATCTTTGTCGCCATATTTAATACAACGTTTCGGCCTGTCAGTATCTGTCTATATTTCTGAGATGAGGTATCATGTACACTATTCACATTATTCGGACTATTGTCCTCAACGTTGTCGCCATATTTATCACGACGTTTCGGCCTTTCAGTATCTGTCTATATTTCTGAGATGAGGTATTATGTACACTATTTACATTATTCGGACTATTGTCTTCATCTTTGTCGTCATATTTATTACAACGTTTCAGCCGTTGTACGCTCTGGCCTTCTTCAAGGACACATGGCAGAGTGGATAAAGGCGTTGGTTAGATCCAGTGACAGATCTCAAAGAGCGTGAGTTCAATACCCGGTTAAGGCAGTGGAGAAAGTGGAGAGGAGGAATTAACAGGAGATAACTGACATCCACTAGCCATGGCACGTGGAACTAGAACAGTCTACCCCAGTGAGCGAAATAAAGGTTTCAGTTCGACATTCCAACCATCTGAAGAAGGCCGGAGCGCACAACGGCCGAAACGTTGTAATAAAGATGGCGCCAAAGATGAGGACAATAGTCCGAATAATGTAAATAGTGTACATAATACCTCATCACAGAAATATAGACAGATACTGAAAGGCCGAAACGTAATAAATATAACGACAAAGATGAGAAAAATAGTCCGAATAATGTAAATAGTGTACATAATACCTCATTACAGAAATATAGACAGATACTGAAAGGCCGAAACGTAATAAATATGACGACAAAGATGAGAACAATAGTCCGAATAATGTAAATTGTGTACATAATACGTCATCTAAGAAATATAGACAGATACTGAAAGGCCGAAACGTTGTAATAAATATGGCGACAAAGACGAGGACAATAGTCCGAATAATGTAAATAGTTCTTAAAAACAATTTGAAGAGGAAGAAGATGACGATTGTCATTGCATTTAAATTTTTGTAGATCAATGTTCATTTGAAAGTGAGAAACCTGAAGATAGTCCCAGAAGCGAGAAGAAACTCTTAGCATAGATCTTACGGTTACATTTAGCAGTCAGCTGTAAAATAATGAGATCTATCAGATAATCTGGTACTACGCTTTACTTTCTAAAGTCACGACTCCAAAGAGGACATTTCATCAGAAAAATTAACATGAAAATATTTTTAGAAAATTCATAGGGAACAACGAAGCAGAGATGTCAGATCAGAATAGATAACATTGTAGACATCTCTTTGGGTGTTGTCAAGAATTTCTAAATATATAGCAGAACAACTACAACTGATTTAATATAATCCTTTCAGTTTATATCAGCGAAAAATGTTACCGTGAAAGCACTCTTCTGTAGGTTAGCATCAGTCATGCGGATTGAAGGAAAAAAAGGCTATGTAAGACAAATGAGATTAGTTTCGTTTGCGAGGTGTTAAAATAAGCATGCCATTCCTTGTTCCAGTTAGCAAAAAGATTTCAATCCATTCTTTAGATCAGGTGCGAATTTAATGTTATAAAACTTAAAAGATTTATTACGCCAGTAAATAGTTGTGTCATCTACATCAATAGCGAATCTAGAACTGATGACGTCGGCAATGTCGTTGATGAAACTTAAGAACAAAGTATATCAAAGAATAGAGCCCTGGAGGACACCTTCATCAATGTAGAAAGAGTGGCCATTCAAGATGACATTCATTTCGTGATCAGATAAGAAAGATTGATTGAAAGTAAATAATTCGTAGAAGAAATATCATAACCTTTCAATTTGTGAAGGTGACCAGAATGACAAATCCTGTCATATGCCTTCGAGATATCCAAACTGAGATTCACTATTCTCATCTGAAGCTTGATAAAGTTTTTCTTCAATAACGGTTACAACATCTGCAGTTGACAAAGAAATGAAAGGCATATTTTTGTCTGAAAGAAGGCAATGCGAGGTGAGACGCATAACTAATTCAAGGTTTATTACAGCCCCTAGTACTTTGCCAAAAATTGGTATAAGGCTAATATGCCGATGGTTAGAAGGATCAGGTAGTTCGACTTAATTCTTAAAGACTGGAACTGCAGAAGAGGATTTCCAACAAGCAGGAAAGCAAGAAGATTCTAAACCAATACTCGGTTGATTACAGCATCAAGGAATTTGCCAAAAAGTTATAGAAGACTAATGGTTGGGGAATTAATTTTACTAAAGGACAGCTTATTGGGAAGGAAATTTCTTTAAAAAAAACAGCTGGTTATGGTTTACCCAAGAACAGATAATTGGGTAGTATTTTTATTCTAGGACAGATGCTTGGCAACGACGTTTGCTCAAGAACAGATGATTTGGAAGAAACATTATCCAGGAACAGATGCTTGGAAAGGAAGCTTTCTCACGAACAAATGATTGGGAAGAAAGCCAACTCACGAAAAGATGATTGGAAAGGAAGCCAACTCACGAAAAGATGATTCAGAAGGAAGATTACTAAAGACATGGTCAGGAAGCAAGCTTACTCAAAAACATACGATTGGGAAGTAATTTTACACTAGAACAGATGGCAAGGAAGTTTGCTCAAGAACAGATGATTGAGAAAGAAGGTTACTCACGAACAGATGATTGGAAAGGAAGCTTACTCAAGAACATATGGTTGAGAATGGAGCTTACCCAAGACATGGTTGAAAAAGGAACTTACCCAAGACATGGTTGGGAAAAATGTTTACACTAGAATAGATGATTAATATGAAATTAATTAGAAGCATGTCTGTTCAACACGAAATTCATTACACGATTTACTAGGAACGATTGAATTCTGCCAAATAGTAATCCAGTGACAACGTAGCCCTTGAACTTGGGGAGAATGCCAACATATCAAACCCCGTCGAACGTCTTTGAGATATCTAGTGCCACAGCCCGAGCTTCCCCATTATTATCTATAGTTTGACAGATAAATTCAATGATGTCTGTGAACACATCGGTAACAGACTGGGAGAAGCGAAACGAAACGAAACTATGTTTATCCGAAACTATGTTTATCCGAAACTATGTTTATCCGAAACGAAACTATGTGACGTAAGATATTCAACTAATTTGCTGTTGATTAGAGGTTCTAGTACTTTTCTAATAGGGTGATAATCTGTTGAGTCAGATGGTTCTCCAGAGTTCTTAGACGGGGACTACAGAGGAGGACTTCCAGCAAGTTAAAAATTAATAACTACCGAGTCATTTAATGTAACGTTTCGAGAGAATACAAGCCAGTCCAGGAGCACATTTCGTTAGGACAATTGCAGGGATACCGTCAAACCCGCAAGCGTTGTGGGAATCTAGTTTAGAAATGACAGCAGAAACCATGGACAGAGTTATGTGCATACAACTCAGTAGAGGTTCGCTTCTCAGGGAAGATCAGGTAGGGATACTCGAGATGAATCTAGAGAGGATTTAGAAAACAATTTACGAACACTGAAATCTGCTTTATCTGCAGTAGATAATAACATTTCAAATTGATTGAAGAAAGGAGTTTCTGATGATTTGGTTCTGCTTAGCGCACTCTTGCACAGCCGCCAGTAATCTCTAGAACCAAAGTTGTAAGAGGCTATACAGTGTCACATTCTATCAGCGAATAATAAGTTTGGATCTTTGAGGACACCGTTCCATTCATTGCAATGACAAAGATCCTTCTGTTACAATCGAACCTGTGGCTCTGGCATAACCGGAAGTAGTGATTCCTGTGTGTTTTAACTGGGAAACAGGAAGGAGAGTTTTTTTATTTATTTTTAACTCGAATCCAGTCTTTGACACAAAATGTTTCTTACTAATTATACTAGAGTCAATGTATGTAATTCAAATTTAGTTAAATTGTTACGTTGTTCATTATCTGCTTGTTGTGTGCTTGTCCTGGAAATTACTAAGGGATTTTTACAATTCCAAGAGTACTTGTGTGGGATCAAACACAGTTGGAATTTTAACAATACACATTAGTCCTAATGTCTGTAGTGATAATCACTATATTACGCACACCTTCTGATCGACTTTTACTTCATATCTCTTGTCTGTTTTAAATGAGTCAAGAAGTTAGATGTTATTAATTTTAGTTCTTCGATATCATTAATATATACGACACATCATTAAAGATGCTACAAAAAATGTCCAGCAGATAGAACAGTTCCAGAAAGTACCAAACACTGACTAACATAAACTATCCTTACAAGAATCAGATCCGCTGGTCAATTCCAATTTTCCAGCCTCGTCAGAGTTCAAAATCGCCTACAAAGCCTTGTGAGTAATTAATACATTGTTTTCTTCTTTACATCAATGGCATTCCCAATATCATCTGTTCCCAACTATCCACTTATGCTGATGGCATAAATATTTACCCCTGTATTAATATTAAATACGATAGGTTCAACAATTTATAAGTGGCAGCTGTTCTTGACAATAACCTCCAATCAGTGCTTTACTAGGCAAAGAAATGGCTTGTCAATTTTAACGTCCCCAAAACGAAACTGCTTAATCATCAAAGAAAAAAACTCTTTTTGTCCTCCATCTGCATAGATGATGCTAATCTTCAGGAGAGCAAATTATTGCGCCTTCTTGGTCTGGCGTTGTCTACTCACATGATTTCTTGCTTCCCTGTCACCTGAGAGCTTCAAAAATGTAATCTTTTAAAAATTAAAATAAAAATTAAATATTAATTATAGAAATAAAAATTACATTAATTATAGAAATAAAAATTATTATTAATTATTGAAACTAAAAATCCTGTATAAATTATAGGAATCAAAATAAAAGTCCGGTATTATAAAAATCAATATAAAAGTCCGGTAGCAATCATAAAAATCAAAATAAAAGTCCGTTATTTATCAAATAAATAAAAATAAAAATCCAGTACTATTTATAGGCATCAAATCCTGTATTAAAGAAATAAAAATAAACCTCATGTATTACTTATAGAAATCCAAATAACAATCGTTTATTAATTATAGAAATCCAAATTCAATACTCATTATAAAACTGACATAAAAATCTGATATTCATTGTAAATATCAGAATGACAATCCTATATAAATTGGCTAGATGTAACCGTAAGTTCTATGCTAATAGTTTCTTCTCTCTCATATCTCGCTTGTGGAACACTCTTCCGGTTTCTTGCTTTCCAATCAAGATCGATCTTCAAAAATTTAAATGCATTCGTTTTCTTATGTTCTCTCAAACATCAGAATATCAATCTTATGTGAATTATAAAACTCAAATAAAAATCCGATATTCATTGTAAACATCAGAATAAGAATCTTATATTATGTAATGAATATGCATACATCTGGGTTCCCCCCTCACAGTAATATGATTGGCTGGTGTCAGCCATAAATACAGACTGATGTGGAGGTATATCGCCTACGCTTATTGCTTACGCCTATCGCCTACGCCTATGGCATAAGCCTATTGCCTAAGCCTATTGCCTACGACTACGACGTGGACCAGTTCATTACGGTTACCTGCTAGATTGTCCTACCCGGTTAGAGTAACCAAAACCACTTAGCGACTTTGAACAAATATATCCCTTTACGAGACATATTCTTATATGTATTATGAAACTCAAATAAAAATTCGATATTCATTGTAAACATCAGAATAACAATCTTATATGAATTATAAAAATACATACAAAAATTCAGTATGAATTGTTTATATAAATCTTTTAATAATTATAGGTTTCTCAAAAAATAAAGGCTTCTATCTATAATTTACTGACACCAAAAATGGAACGGTGGAAATTAATGTGTTAAATTGATCAAAAAAAGAAAAAAAAATCAGAAATATTTGGAGAAATTCGTTAGTTTAAACGTAAATCTTCCATAATAATGTAGTTACGTGAAATATAATTCAATCTTTTTCAGCAAAAGAGCCAGTCGTTTATTCTAAAATAGCTATTCGTAGATAGGATTGAGTGAAACAACAGTGGCAATAAATACCCGAAATAAAAAAGAAAAAAATAGAGAATAAAAAAAGGTGTTATTTAGACACCTCAGTAGTGTTTTTTTTTATGCTTACCTCAGAGTGAAATCCGATAAATGATTCTTGGGTGTGGGGTTGTTCCCACCCTGAAATCAATCTTTGTGGCGATGCCTGGCAAACAGGAAATTAAAAACTGCGAATCACCGTCTTGTGACACCCGATGACAAAAGAAAACACATAAAGGAAAAAAATCATATTCAACAATATATGAAACTGAGGGTTTCTGACAAGAGTTATCCAATATGGCCGTTTTCATCGAACACCAGCATCCTTCAGTTTTAATACAAGGAGAACTAATATTAATAATAATCATGTTCACAGTGCCGAGTAAAGCTAATACGAATGATCTTCTGTACGTTTTTGTCATTAATTTACACTAATTACTATCAAGCATCCCTTTGTAAACAGATTGGTTGATTGGATTTTACTGGTAATTAAACTTTAACTTGTTTTAACCTGTGAATATTTCGAGGTTTTTCTTTTTGAACATTTTGATGAATTTTAATTATTCATTTGAATGAGCTCATGGCGATTTCTATGTCAATAAAATATCCGAAGAAATTCCCCTATCGCGTCGTTAAATATTTCAGCTTCAAAACTTTAACAAAATATTGTAAAATCATAAATAGGAATGCTGGTTGTTATTTTAAGGAGTGTATACAAATGCAAAGATTTTAAAATGACAACTACACCGTCACGGATCCTCTCCTCCATTTGATATAAAGCTGAAAGCAAGCAGTCATCAATACTGAACAGGATGAAGGAAAATAGTAATAAAGTTATGTAGTAAGCAAAGTTCATTCATAAAAGAAAACCGGATTGTTAAATATTTGAGTTTAACACCTTTAACAAAATATTGCAATAACAATTATAAATATGAATTCTGTTCGTTATTTTAAGAAGTAAGGAGGTACAAATGAAAAAATTTGAAACTGGCAGCTTTCTTCCGGAAGAGCCGTTAAACACTTCTACCTTTCGTTCTTTATTTGATTCTTTTATTTTCTCGCTGAAATCAAACAGTCTATTTTCCCTTCATTCCACGCGATATTTATGAGGAATTGGCAGAAGTCAGACACTTTTATCTTGCCTTTTTATCTTTCATCCTTTCATTTTCTCACTGGAACCAACAAGCCTTTCCAATGTGCCTGTATATTAACTGGAATTAATACACTAATTCCTATCAACTATTCCTTTGTAAACAGAAGGTTGACTGGATTTCACTGGTAATTAAACTTTAAGTAGTTTTAACCCGTAAATATTTCGCGGTTTTCCTTTTTGAACATTTTGATGAATCGTAATTATTCAGTTAATGATTGAATAAGCTCATGGCGAGTTCGACGTCAATAAAATATCGGTAGAAATTTCCCTATCGCATCGTTAAATATTTCAGCTTTAAAACTTTAACAAAATATTGCAATACCAATCATAAATAGGAATGCTGCTCATTATTTTAAAAAACAAAGTGTTTTAAATGAAAAGATTTGAAATTGGCCATTTTTTCCATTTCACTGAAAGAGCCGTTAAACACGTCAATTTTTCCTTCTTTCTTTGTCTTTCATTCATTTTCTCGTTGAAACCAAGTAGTGTCTTTTCCCTTCTTGCCACGCAATCTAAACGGAATAGCCCATTAATTATGCGGTATTGGCAGGAGACGTTAAACAATTCTTTCTTTCTTTCTTTTCTTTCTTTCTTTCTTTTCTTTCTTTCTTTCTTTCTTTCTTTCTTTCTTAAATAGTTCATTATTTATGAGGTACTGTCAAAGCGTAACGGTCGGGCGAACTAAAGAATGGAAGGGACAAGCACAATAATAATAATAATAATAATAATAATAATATATATATATATATATATATATATATATATATTATGAAGAACTTGGTAATCCGTATGGGTAATCCCAAGGAGGATGAAATCCTGAGAGCTCAATGTAAATCCAGAGCTAATATTTAAAAGAAAAACAGACCACTTTAAGGTATCATTATAATAATTTATTTCACAAGAGTCCTTATATATATATATATAACAATAGGACTGGTGTAGACGGAATAAAATTCTAATGACTAAAAACACTGTTCTTAAAAGTGTGCTCAATACAGAGGAGAGCAAAAGCATATATTCAAAAATTATAACATAAATATGTTATAACATCACTACAAAAATAGCCATTTTGTTCAATCCATCGGGTGCCTTATCAAGGGATGGTTGATAAGGTATGGTATTTGGAGAAGCTACATCAAGCGTCTATACTATGTTCAATTTCTTTTTCTCCGGTACTAAATTTGTTATAATTGATCCATACCTCGAGGTATTTAATTCCATATTCTACATTTTTATGATAGATTCAGGGTATGTGACAGTAGAGATTTCGTTCAAATCGGGTTTCGATCTTAGATAAAAGCAACCGGACGTCTAGGCACACTAATGCGCCGGGATACAGCAAAACAGTTTGTCTGTGATGACTCTCTGGATATCTCGGTTATCTCCCATTAATTCAACTCCCCTAGTTTCTGTTCACCCCTGCCGTAGCCAGGAATTTGGTCAGATCACTGAATCCAACTAACGCTCGTATCCATTTGACCATGTGTCCTTGTTATATCAGTTGTTTGCTAATAAACTTTGTCTAGATCTATACATTTTTAATCGCTTTTTGGTTTGGGGTAAGTTTATTTGTTTTTAATCGGAATATTTCGGTATTACCAATTTACGGTAATACAGTGCTGTTCGATAAAAGTGACTCACCTGATTTGTTTGTACTAAATGTTCTCTTCTCCGATGAAACGAAAGTTGATCTAAATTCAAAGGATCAGCGATCTAAAATCCGAAGAAGAAGCTTTGAAAGCTCTTTGAATTTAATGGAGAATGTTGCTCAACTGCTTTCTCAAGAGTCTGTACTTTATAATGTTCCATAAGTTTTCTATGGGTCAGGAGATTGGGGCGGCCATGTCATAACACTCACCTGCTTCTCATCAAAGTATTCCTTCATCAATTTTGATTTGTGACAGGGAGCATTATCCTGCATAAAAATAAGCTTGGTGGAGTCGATTCTTTCAGCAGAAGGGAGCAGACAAGATCCTAAAATTCTCTTTGTACTGCTCCTGAGAGGTTCTTTTCAATAGGTTTTAAGTTCCATGAAAAGAAAAAGCATCCCAGAAGATTATACAACGGATGGTTTTAAATTCTTAAAACTCAGAGGGACGAAAACCAGTTTCCTTTTGTCTTTATATATATACTCAGAAGGAAAATTCTGGAGCATCCCCAGAAAATTATACTGAACGGATTACGCCCAGTATTTTCCTATTTCACTGCTTAAAAAATTGCTCTTAAAACAAATATGCAGAGGATTCGAAAATCGAAAGAAAATGGTTGAATACATCAACACACAAAAATTTCTCCACACGTTTGTCGTTATTTTTCATAAAAAATATAAAATAGCGTTTCTCAGAAGGAAAACATTCTGTTTTTTTTTTTAGCGTGTTCATTTAATTTCATTTTCGTAAAAAGTCCACATTGGACCCAGATATTAATTTTTTCCTATTGTCATTTTTATTCATTTATATATATTTGTGTGTGTGTGTGTGTGTACAAAACACGTATTAATATATATTACAAATATATAAAATATATATACGTATATATATAATACAGATTCATAAAATATAATATAAAAAATTTTGAATTTTACATATTAACACAGAATATCAATTAAAAGCTATTTTATTGATATCCATATCACAGTGACAATTTTTTTGCTATTGTTTTTTTTTTTAATAGTTTTAAACGTTATTTTTATCGTCTAGTTAAAAAAAAACATTTGATCTGAAAATAATCGTTCGTTAGATGCAGCGTATTTATATGCGTACAGTCATGAAGGAACGTCGACGTTTGCCTACGGCTGAATAGGGTCTTTAAACGAAATATTTCTCCATCATTTTTCGAAAAATTACATTTGCTGTTTTTTCTTTTTTTAATATACAACTTTTCTCTATTTGTTACTTTGTTCATTTATATATTATATTATATATATATTTATATATTTGATAAAGTCCAAAGGTTTTTATTGTGATGCGTTTCATCCGTCAGGTTTTCGGACTGAAACGATGATGTCAATACATTTTCCGAAACGAGACGCTTGTTTAAAAATTTTTTGAAAATTTATATATATATATATATATATATATATGTGTGTGTGTGTGTGTCTGTGTCTCTGTGTGTGTATGTGTTTGTTTTGATATATAGAATTACCATATTTATATATAAATATGTACAATGTTTATATATCTCTCATTTGAAATATTTCGTCCATAATCTGTTCTGTATATATATATATATATATATATATATATATATATATATATATATATATATATATATATATCATATGTCCCGAAACCCTGATTGGCGTCAGTCAATTCTACCACTGAGCCGTTGGCGCACGGCATGAATGAAAGGGAATTTAAGCGTATTTATTTTTAAATAAAACACACAGTGACTGAGTTCCGATTTACCGAAAAGATTAACCGTGTCACAGAAACCCATATTTCCTCCTCAGAAAACAAGTGAAATGAGATTTTCAGGGGCATATATATTGTCATCCACAGACATACTGTGAAGATGGATTGGCGCAGGGCATGGACCATCATATCCGAAACTGCCCACATTTTTATATTTGTAGGTCCCGACGGACGACCTATGTATAGTGTCTGCAGACATCGATGTTTGCGTTACTACGACAAAGTTTCACCACTAAATAACCCAATACAAGGTCCCCAAAAACATTAATCCCGATCCTAAAGCGTGAAACCCAGGTTTTCCAACCAAATATATAAATATATATATATATAATGTCATCCACAGTTGTTTCCTTCTCCTCATCAGACCAGGTTGCCATCCCCGACTGAATTGGCTCATCGAACCCCAGTCTGTCCTGCCATTTTAATTTATTTTTGTAAACCCATAGTGACATTTCATTGAATAATAATAGACATTTATTTCCCATGTCAACTGAAATTATTTTATATATAATATATAGGTCCTTTATAATGTTCTTTAAAAATATGTAAAATATAGATATATAGACATTAATATAATGTAATGTAATAATGTAATATAATCAGATATATATAGAATATATAGATCACTGGATAATGTCATCCACAGAAGACTGTTTATATATATATATATTTATATATATATATATAAATATATATATATATATATATATATATATATATATATATATATATATATATGTCCCTCCCATCGAATTCGACGTTTCTCTTTTGATATCCGGTTTCTGCAGGACCCAGGACCATCCACACTTTTTGAAGGGCCAAATACAGAGACCTGGTGCTTATCCCCAAACGACCCTCCGGGTTTGAATTCAAAGTTGTCCTTCTCCTAGACCAGTTGCCATCCAAGGCTATAGAACCCAGTCTGTCCTGCTATTTAACCCATAGCATTTCATTGAATAATATAATTTATGTCTAATTATTTTATAATAATCCTTTCTCGTTCTTTCAAAAATCTAGACATTATATCCCGGATATAAGAGAGTTTCTCTGGAGAAGAAGTATATCCGGGTTTGGTTTCTATTTTTGGTCTACATTAACACAGGCTCTAATTTGGGACCAGAGAAAATCTCTCTATATCCAGGTTTCTCTTATATCCGGGTTTGGTCTATTTTGTATACATTAACACAGGCTCTAATTTGGGACCAGAGAAAATCTCTCTTATATCCAGGTTTCTCTTATATCCGGGTTTGGTCTATTTTGTATACATTAACACAGGCTCTAATTTGGGACCAGAGAAAATCTCTCTTATATCCGGGTTTCTCTTATATCCGGGTTTGGTCTATTTTGTATACATTAACACAGGCTCTAATTTGGGACCAGAGAAAATCTCTTATATCCGGGTTTCTCTTATATCCGGGTTTGGTCTATTTTGTATACATTAACACAGGCTCTAATTTGGGACCAGAGAAAATCTCTCTTATATCCGGGTTTCTCTTATATCCGGGTCTCTTATATCTGGGTTACACTGTATATATATATTATTCAAGGAAAAATGTTTGAATGAAGATATACAGCCCAAATACACACACACACGCACACACACACACAGACATATATATATATATATATATATATATATATATTAAGTTGGATAGATGTGAGTTTGTGACCCTGGGTTTCACGCTATTAGCGATCGTCAGAACGAGATATTGCATAATTTTTATCGTCTTCCATGTTTAGGTTTGTCGAATTTGTCGCTATTACTATATTTGAAATTTTAAAATCACAGCTCACATACAAGCCACAAGTGTTTTTTTTTTATTTTCTTTTTTAATCAATTCACTCTAAGCAAGGTGATGACGTCACTAATACGCAAGCGGTTACTGGTAGTGCTGGCATTTCTTCTATAAAAATGTATTTTTACATATTCATAGTCTTTCGACCCAGTTTGGGGTTAACTATTTGCCCATAACTGGGACCCTAACGGGTGCTGCCACCCCGAATCAGGGCGGACCTGGAAACAAAAACAATTATGCGGTGGTTTGACGTTACCTTAAAACCTCCCGATCAAAGGACTTGCTGTCGAATGTAGTTTATCATCATACCCAGGAAGGAGTAAAATACTTAATAAAGGGTGTTTCATTAAGACGGATCAAAGTCAGCAATAAATAAATCAGTGTTATTGATGAAAATTTATTTATTTCTCTGTTGGATCATGTT